AGCCACAAGTTTGGTGGTTCAAAACCAGCTCAATGGTACTTAAAAATAACAACAATGATATGAAATTATAAATATATAAATAATAAAAAGTAAGACCCCCAGCGAGATGGATTGGCAAAGTGGCAGCATCAATGGGCTCAAGCATGGCATCAATAGTGAGGTTGGCCTAGGATCGGGTAGTGTTTCATTCTGCTGTGCATAAGGTCACTGTGAGTCAGTACCAACTCAATGGCACCTGACAACAACAACATACTTTTTGAGAAGAGGAAAATAAGTTGCACTGCTAATATCTAAGTGTATATAGGGCCTTGGGGATTTCTTGATTGTGTAATACATTAATGTAAGTTCAGTTTTCCATAATCATGCATTTTCTTCTGAATGAAGATGCTTTATTGACTAAAATCTCTGATATCCATGATTTCATTCAACTTTCTTATAATTGTAGTTCCTTCTGCTATTTACAGCCAAGTTGAAAGGTTCTTAATAGCATTTTTATGTTAAATTTATTATTTTTCCAAGTTATTTTTGGCTTGCAACATGGCACCACAATCATTGGATTCCATGATGATAATACAGTAAAACTCGTACCAGAACTCAAAGGAATTTATTTCTTTTCTGGGTCTTGCAAGCTTTCTGCATTTGACAGGGTATAGTATCATTTTCTACCACTCTATATTTAGTGGAAAATAATTGACTTTTCCGTCTTTGACATATTTCTGCCTTATACAGGTTTCAAATTTTGCAGATTTTACTGTATTTGATTTCCAAATATTTCCTCATATTTATATAGCAAAAGTTTTGGGCATTTATACATATTATTTTCATCGATTGACTAACAGTCCAACATTATGGATTAAACACATTTGTAGAAATCAGTTACACTGAGAGTGCCTGATGAAACAATGTCTTATATTCATGCCTTTGTGTATTTCCTGCCATATTTTCTTTGGATTTGGCCATGTGACTTGTATTGGCTAATGGATATTAACAAATATGATGTAAGGAGAGAACTAAAAAGTGCTAGTACATTGGGAATTTCTTCTTGGTCTACCTCCTCTTAAAAACCAGTGGTTATGCTGTAGAGAGAGGAGCCCTGGTAGCATAGTGGATGACGAGCTGGGTTGCTATCACAAGGTTAGTAGTTCAAATCTACCATGTGCTCCATGGGAGAAAGAGGAGGCTTTCTGCTTCTGTAAAGATTTACAGCCTCAGAAACACTATACAGGGTGGCTATGAGTTGAAACCATCTTAATGCACATCACCAACCACCTCCATGCTGTAGAGAAGCAAGACCACATGCTAGAAAGAAGAACCCACAGAAGAATTCATGGAAAATGAAATTAAATGATAATGGACTGTTTCTGCAAACTTTTTGAAGCACTATACTATAGCCTAGGAACTCACTGGTAGCGTAGTGGTTACGAATCGGGCTGTGAACCTTAAGGTCAGCAGTTCGAAACTACCAGCTGTTCTGTGGGAGAAAGATGGTTTTCTGCTCCCATAAAGATTTACAGCCTCGGAAACTATGTACAGCATCGCAATGGGTCGGAACTGACTCTACGGCGCTCAACAACAACATACTATAGCCTTGGTGTGGCACTCTAGGAGAAGAACTGGATTAGTAACCACATGGTTGGCAGTTCAAAGTCACCAGCTGCTCTCATAACTCTGTAGTGACGCTAAGAGTCTGAACCAAGTCTATGGCATACAACAACAACTATACAAAGACTCATGGAAAATGAGAGATCATTTGACATCAAAGCCTAGAGGAGCTTCCAATTAAATGAAACCATACACATGACTTCAGTCACTGCTAACGGTCAGTGAATCTACCGTGTATCAAATCCTACCTGCTGACTAATTTTAAACTTATTTCCTCTGTCAGCTATGAATGACTTTTGTATTTAAAAATGGTTATAAAATTTGTTGTTGTTGTTAAGTGCTGTTGAATCATTTACAATTCATAGTGACCCTGTATATGGCTTCTGTGGAGCAGCTGGTGGGTTTGAACTGCCGATCTTGTGGTTCACAGTCTAGTGCTTATCCTACAACACCACACCAGAAGTCTGAAGAAAGTTTTGCTACAGAGACTATATGTGGACCCCAAAGCTTAATTTTTTTTTTTTTTTTTTACTATTTGGCCATTTCCAGAAAAAAGTAATTTGCTGAACCATGTGTTATATACCACAGGGAGTATAAGAACCACCTAGATGAAACCAGTCACCTCAAAGATTTAATTATAAGAAACAACACATTATTTTTGCTAAAAACTATTAACTGTTATTGTAGTTTGCTACCCAAAAAGGTACCTGGAATAGATAGTTGTACCAGAAACTGTGTTACTAAAAAACAAAACAAAACAAAATGCCACAGAGCACTGACTTTGAGACCAGTTAATGAGCAGAAGGCAATAAGAGAAAATGTTACTAAATAGGAAGAATAGTAAGTAAATTGCTATTTCAAGGCTGTAGGAAATAGAACTCAGGAAACTAACTGTCAAACAATCAGTTTGCCTATTTGCCTGCTGTAACTTGGAAGATATATGTGGATCTATAAACTTATGGATATGACTAAGGTGATTTCTAAGCAATGTCCTATTAGTCATACATGACCTGGCACTATAAAAGAGATTAACTAAAGAAGGAACTATTGAGTATTCAAGGAGAATTTAGAAGATATAGATCTGACCCAGGGTACTCTGAGTTGAAAAAGAAAACAATTTCCTACTGCTATTCACTGCTGAAGAGGGCTAGCTAAAGGTCCCCTAAATAAGATGTTGTCTCAAGGAAAAGGTCAAATTCAGAATGCTGCCTCCAGGTAAAGATCAAATCAAGGGTGCAGCTCTGAGATATAGTGTGAAGACCTCACAATGATTCTAGATTGTACTAATAGGTCTCCTCGGCTAGACAAAAGATCTTCAGTCTTAAAGGTATTGTCTTATGCCATCCTAATTCTTAACCATGACAGAAAATGATGTGTCAAAAAGATTTGTGCATATATCATTGTTGTCAATTAACAGAATTGTAATTTGACACAAAGAAATCCCACATTATTTTAATAGAAATTGTGTTGTGTCGTTGTTAAGTGCCATCGAGTGGATTCCAATTCATAGCAACCCTATATAGGGTTTCTGAGGAGCACCTGGTGGGTATATACTGCCAACCTTGTGGTTTGCAATCCAGTGCTGATCATATAGCACCTCATCCTATAACAATTGTTGTTGTTAAGTGCCATCAAATCGGTTCCAACTCATAGTGAGTCTGTATACGGTTTATGAGGAACAACTGGTAGATTTGAACCGTTGACCTTGCAGTTCAAACTGACCTTTCAATCCACTACTTTATCACACAGCACCACACTACAATTACTGTTATTATTGTTAAGGGCCATCGAGTCAATTCCAACCCATAATGACCCTGTATAGGGTTTCTAAGGAGCAGCTGGTGGGCTTGAACCACTGACCTCGCAATTCAAATGGCTCTGCAGTCTGGCTCTTTAACCCACGGCACGACACCATGATTGCAGCAGCTTAAAATAAGCAGATAACTCCACTGATAGCTGGAGTGTTTTTCTCCATGTTAAATTGACTTTCAGTTTACTACTGAACTATGTCATTTGGTATTTTCAAATAATTACAACAAGGAGAAGAAGAATAGCTAATTTTATTGAGAACTTATTAGGTGTCAAGCATTGTACTAAGGACATATTATGGAATATCCTATTTTTTTCCTCAAAATGAGAGCTCTTGAGTTTTAACCTCTGGCAATACTTTGATCCACATCTAGTTTATGTCAATCATGTAATCAAAAGAAGGTGGTCTAGTTATACAATGATACACATAGTTGTTGTTGTTAAGTGCCATCAAGTTGGTCCCAACTCATAGTGACCCTGTATAGGGTTTCTAAGGAGTGGCTGGTAGATTTGAACCACCAACCTTGTGGTTAGCAGTCCAGTATCTATCCTATATCACCACACCAGGACTCTAATACACAGAGTAGCATTACTTATAAAAATAAAGTAATAAAAGAGTCTTAAATTCTTATAATAAAAGGAAGTGAAATGAAGATTCATTCCTATAATGGCTTATGATCCATCCATTAATGAGGAGGAGTTTTGGTGGTGGACTGGTTTAGCACTTGACTGCTAACCAAAAGGTCAGTTGTTTGAACTTTGAACAACTCTTAATGAAAAAGATGTGGGAATCTGTTCCCTTAAAGGTTACAGCCTTAGAAATTCTATGGGGCAGTTTTCTCTATTACATCACTATGAGTCAGAAACAGATTTGTGTTGTTGTTGTTTTTAATTTTAAATTGACTGTCAATGCAAAATACATCATCTGAGCCAAAAGGAGAATTATGGAGAAGATATGAAAAATGATCTAGAATATCATGGCTTTTAAGTAAATGCAATATTAACTCTGGGGAGTCCTGGTGTGACTCTATAAGTGAATGCACTAGACTGCAAAGTCAATTTAAATAGCAAGGTCAGCAGTTCAAGTTTACCAGCTGCTCCCTGGAAACCATATCTATACAGGGTTGCTGTGGGTCAGAACCGACTAGACAGCACTTAACAACAATATTAACTCCAATGTGAAATAAATATTTTCACTTTAATGTTACATGTCTATATGTAATTATTTTAAACTAATCTTTATTAAATGTATACAATCTGGTAATTATTTAAAATGGGAAATATATAAGAATATGTGAACCAGAAGACCCCAGGGCATGAATTTATAATTGATAAAAATGGGGCATAATTCTGCTTATAATTGCTAGAGAAAATTAGCCAAACATACAATTTATGAAAATACAATCTGATTACATTCACTGTCAAATGCTTTAAACTTGACCTTTTCAATTACTGTATATGTAATCTGAAACCGAAAACAAATATTAAATACATTCAGCAGAGAAATACATAAATCTTTTCCAAGACATTGTAGGTGGTATCTCTTTCTCTTTTTCAGTGAATTTTTAAAAGGTAAGAAGGGTACTTACTCCTGTTATGTAACGAGGTCTATATTGAATAGTTCCAAATAATCCAAGAATGACGATAATAATATGTACAAAATTTGCCAGGATAGGTGCCCACTGATATCCAAGGAAGTCAAATATTTGCCTCTCCAGCACACAAACCTATAATAGCAAAATAGGATAGATTGATCAGTGCATGTAAGAAACATCACAATGTGAATGGGGGAGGGAGTGGGAAAGAGAATGACTTTGGCATTATAATTAGCAAATTATAACTGTGCTACCATATCTGGAATTTGTCTTTTACTAACAGTGAGAATGACATTTGTAGGTATATTTCAAAGGAAGAATGTGGAAGCTGTGGATTTGTAGGCAGTTCAGATCATTTTCTAGGCTGATTTTGTGGAGGCATCAAGCAGTATTCACAGAATATAATCTGTGCAGTCACAGGATAAATTATATTGTCATATGCACTGTCAAACACTTGAAATCATCTACCAGCAAGTTAGGAAAGTCCACATGAAGGGCTTGTTGTTAGGAGCGGCTCAAATGTCATTTTATAAGTTGGGGAAAGAACAAAGGGAGTTGATGTAGAGAAAAAAGAACTCTTCAAAAAGTCAACAGACCCTGATTCTGGATATAGGTTTACCATTAAGTAGCTACAGTGCCTGATACAAGCCATTTTCTTTCTCTAGGTGTCTGATTCTTCATTTGGAAAATGCAGGAATTAAACTAGGTGGCTATGGTAATTCCAATCCTAATAGTCTTAAACTATAAATATATATATGAATTTTGTCATAGTGACCAGATAAAAAAAGGACACTGAAACATTGGAAAATAAATAAATATAGCACCACTATCGTAAAAACAAGACACTTAATTCATTTCACATTATACTATGTTTTATCTGTGCTCAGAACTTAAACATTATGTATGACCTTTGTAAAAATCTAACCAGTGAGGGGACAGAAAATATCTGTCCAAAAATCTGAGATGGGTCATTAGCCAAGACGTTTCTGTTTTATATTGAAAAGTAAAACCTGGGTAGCTGGTAAATTGCTTATCAGAAGAAACAAAGCAAAGAGGCTTGCTGAGAATTAAACCCAACTTTATTTTTCCTGCCTGCCCTCAGGTGGAATGATAATAAACTGTCTGTTCAGACAAAAACATTGTGAAAGAACCTGATGTTCCACACAAAGATTCAACAGTTTATTATTATTTTTTAACCCAGCTTTTAAAGAAAAAAAATGATTAAAAACTCAACAACAAAAACGCACACCTTCATTTAGTAACATCACTATACTTTAATGATACTTCTTGTCAGAAGGACATACTAACTTTCAAAGTAGGCAGTGTACTTTTAAATTAAATTACTGCTGCTCACTTTGAAGACTTTGTGAAAGATCATTATTCCCACTCCAGTTATTTATCTGAGCAGCATATTTTCCCATCAGGCATTGAAAGAGACAATAAGTTCATGGCAACTATTTGCATTACACCTCTGTTTCCTTCCTAAGGCACTCTGGTACCTTGTAATGGCTGTAGAAAAGACAGCTTCTCTATAGTAAAGAACTAACTGATTCAAGATCAAATTATTATACTAATACGCTAAATGTTTATAATAGTAATATGCAACAATGGGAAGAAATGTCTAATGTGCAAAAGAGAGTGTCCATGGACTCTGAAATTAGATTTCTGTTATGGCACTTATGGATAAGCAATGGATTACTAACTGCAAGGTTGGCAGTTCAAATCCACCAGATGCTCCTTAAAAACTCTATTCAGGGTCACTATGAGTCCCAACTCCACGGCACTTAACAACAACATGCATTTTTGGAGTATTGCAAATATTGAATAATGGATAGCAATGTCCTGGCTAATATTAGAGTGTGGCATTAGGAATAGGTGATTAAACATGTAAGACAATTTTCATGTTTGACTAGCAGAATTCATTTTTTCTATGATAAATGTTAATGATGGTTACTTAGCACAGAAATTCTCACAACTCCCAAGGAGGTCCAGGTGCAGCTGTTCAAATGATACCCTATAGTAGATTTAGTATTTCTGGTCCTGAACCATTTCCAAATCCCATATGTTTCATGTAGCAAGTATATACAAACAAAAACATCATTCTATGACTAATTTCACCAATGCAAAGAAAAGCAGACCAGTTTGAGTGTATTTTAATAAAGGGCTTTAGGAACAAATGAGGTAGACTACGTTGCTAAGTTCATCAGCAGCATTGTTTATTTATTTAGTACTGATTTTATATTCATTGCGAGCTCAGAACAAGGCAAATAACAAAAATAACTTGCAGTGTTCTTATTTTCATGTATCATATGGTATTGCTTTCTTTTAGCAAATTACTTTCTCCAGAGAAAACGCTATTACTATTTTTTTAACAATGCAATCATATTAAACATATTAAAGCTGCCATCTGGAGAATGTGAAATTTGCCAACTAGGTAAAAACAAAGAGGTTTTTTTCCCTGAAAATCTGAGAAAGTGTCTACAAATATACCTCATATATTATTATCAAAGAAGCAATGTACTTATAGGCAGCTTTAGTTTTTGTTTTGTTTTGTCTTAATATATACTTAGGTATCTTAGGATATTTTTCTATTTTGTGAATTTAAAACAAAGAAAAATACTACTTCAATACTCTTGCCTTCTCTCCACAATTGTTGTTGTTGTTAAGTGCTGTTGAGTTGGTCCCAACCCATAGCCACCCTGTACTGGGTTTCCTAGGAGTGTCTGGTGAGCCTGAACCACCAACTTTGCAGTTCAAACTGACTTTGCAACCCAGCGTCCTAACCCACAGCACCACACTTGTTGTTGTTGTTAAGTGCCGTCGAGTCGGTTCTGACCCATAGCGACCCTGTACAGGGTTTCCGAGGGTGTAAATCTTTACGGGAGTAGAAAGCCTCATCTTTCTCCCGCGGAGCAGCTGGTAGTTTAGAACCGCTGACCTTAAGGTTCGCAGCCCGATTCGTAACCACTACGCTACCAGAGCTCCTTACAGCACCACACTAGGAGGCAGTAAATTAGCAAGGTCACATCTCTGCTGCTCTGTGTTAAGTTAACGCTTTGCATTTACCCAAGTGGAAGGTAGAACTCCACATCCAGTCACAGAAAGTAGAAGGAAATGTCACAGTGACCTAACTCTGCAGTCTTCCCTGGCTCCTGTCTCTCCCATCTGCTCTTTTTCTGCACAAATGAAGGTACCAGCAGAGGTTTCAGGACACTCTTTCTTTGACTAGGCAAGGCAGCTATATGGAAGATGTCAATCAAATATCTCAAACTTCTGGTTACGTCTCTTTCATAAAATTCAATTTCATAAGGATGGGAGATGGAATGACAGCCTGGCTTACTCTGACTGCTAAAGGCCAATCAAGAGTTGAAATGAAAGCAGAAATGTTATCAAGATCACTACCATGTACGGGCAGTCACTGTGGCAGTGCGTTGTATCAGAAATTTCAACTAGGAATACAAGAGAAAACCAATTCAGTTGGCCGTAGTAACATTTCAGAAGTTGTCATGAGGTATGCTATTTCTAGCAAGCTAAATACCATGTCTTCTGAGCCCTTTAAAGTAACCATATTATTGGATTCAACACAGATATGGAAATGCTGTTCTGAAGAAAGGCAGTCTTAATCTTTGTTTTTCTGTTAACAGAAGGTGTCTGTGGCAGCCCATGAGTGAATGTAATAATAAAACATGATGTTTAAGAGTTCTACCATAGACTCCATTAAGGTAGCATAGATAATCAGCACAGGTTTAAAATGATACATTCTGTCAAGCTGTGAAGTTTATTTCTCCCCCTAAAGCTGGAAAGCCAAAGCATTAACAAGCACTCCCAAATCATATGTATACACAGTTCCTCTCTGTACAGCAGAGTTCATATATTACTATAAATACTACCATCAATGGAGTCCCTGGGTGGTGTGACTGGTTAACATATTCAGTTACTTACCAAAAGGTGGAAGTTCAAATCCACCAGAGGCATCTCAGAAGAGATGTGATGATCTATTTCCAAACATTCAGCTATTTAGAACCCTTTGGAGCACAGTTTTACTGACACACAAATGTCACCATGAGTTGGAATAAACTGGACAGCAAATAGTTTAATACTATTAATCCCACTGTCCTACAAACTTTATAGATAAGCTTGTAGTCAATATTATGAGTTAAGCAATATAATTATCTCTATTTTAAAGATGAGAAAACTGAGACAAAGAAATACGAACTTATCTAACAATACATGACCATTAAGTGGTGGAGTGGAATTAACCATCGCTATGGGTTGGAATTGACTCGACAGCACTTAACAACAACAACAACTCTGATTCTAGAATGTAAGCTTTAACTCTATGATACCACCTCCTTTTTGTTGTTGTTAAGTGCACTCAAGTTCTGACTCATAGCAACCCTGTAGAGGGCTTCCAAGGAGCAGCTTGTAGGTTTGAACCGACGACTTTGCAGTTCAAAGGGACCTTGTGGTCCAGAGCTTAGTCTACAGTGCCACACCAGAACTCCTACCATATCCTGTTGTTGTAAGGTGCCATCGTGTCGATTTCAACTCATAGCGACCCTGCTAGTGTTTCCAAAGAGCGGCTGGAATAAATTCATACATAATAAATATATAAATACATATTTAAAATATATGCATGTATGATAAATCTGAGAGCACGGTGGCTCCATATGATAAGCACTGGACTGTGAACCATAATGTTTGTGGTTCTAGCCAGCCTACTTCTCCCAGGCACAAAGATGAGACAGAAGCGATTAACCAAATCCATTATACTTACATTGAAGAATGATATTTGTTTTAGTTCCATTAAGTCATTATGCCATTTATTTTTCAATGCATTCATTAAGAAGCTCATAGAGCAACTCACAACACCATCTAATAAATGCTTTTAAGTAATGTTGTCAAATGCTGTCAAGTTGGTTCCAACCCATAGCAACCCCGTATAGGGTTTCTGAGAAGCGGCTGGTGAACTTGAACTATCCACCTTGCTGTTCAAACCGACTTTGCAGTCCAGCGCATTAACCCACAGGTACAAATCATACAGCTTTTTTATTTTATGGAGTATTCAGCATGGGATTGTATTGCTTCAGTGCTTTAAGTCTTCTGTCTCCCACTGGAATTCTGTTTCAGTC